CAGTTCAATATGAATCTGGTTTCCAAATATGGAAAAACAAATTTCTCTCTTTAATAACCAACTATTTTATCAGTCTGATCATATTAATCCTGTCTGGATCAGGGGTGGAGCCAGGGGGTGGCCAGGGGTGGCCACCCCCTGGCTCCGCCCCCGGTCTGGGTAAACACGTAAAACAAGTGAAATTATTTATCCAGACAATCCACCTTTTAGTGTTTCCTATGCCCCTTTTCCAGTAGTGCTACTTAGTGTAGTGTCGGAACGGTCGGTGTAGGTACGGTCCGGTACGGGTCGGACCGGTTGGTTTTCCACTGATGTTCCAGTCCGGCTCCAATGGGTGTGTTTTGGGCAGTTGGTGGAGGTGGTTTTTAGGTATTTTGAAAAAAAATTAATGGGAAAAATGAGAGATGGAAACACATTTGATGAATAACTTTTGAGTTTTTAAACATTTGCAAAAATTTAGCCAATCAGTGACGAAGTGTTCTGATTATGGGTGTAAGAAAATATTGAAACACTGAAATATTGTGATATTTCATTTCCCGATACTGTATTGATATTCTAAAGCCCTGTATCGATTTTAATTAAGGTTTAAAATGTCAACTTTCTTGCCAGCCGTTCATTTTTATGTTGTAGTTCAGCCTCTGACCACTAGTAGGCAGCAGTGAGCCAGCCATTTGGCTCCTCTACCTCTTGAGTGCCAGAGAGTAAGGGTAGCATTAGCATTGTAAGTAAACATTAGCTTTTCTTTTTTTTTCAGTAAGAGGTTTTTATTTAATAGAATTTTTGGACAAAAATCGCAATATATCGCAATATATCGGGATATATTGTATCGTGACCCCTCTGTTATGATTTGTATCGCATCGCCAAATTTTTGCCAATACACAGCCCTAGTTCTGACGTCGCATTTTGGTGTCAGCTGGGTCCGGTTGGAACCACAATGAAATAGGTATTTAAAAAAGTGCCGGTTCCATGGATCTGGCCTAATGGAAATGGCTTGGAACCGTACCGACACTACTCATCCATTGCTCAACTTTATCACTGTTCAATCAGCAGCATCTTCCACAAATCCCTTTCTCTGCAGTTTGATCATGTTCACTATAAACCAGGACCCTGGTGTTGATGAGAGCAGCTGAAGGCGTTTTCCTGCAGACTGTTCAGAGCCATATATGAGAACGAGCCTACAGGTCGATAACACATACTGTTTCTGTAAACATCGTTTAACTCCACACTCGCCTAATTGTTTCACTGTTAGCTGGNCCCCATGCCCCCATCCCCCCATCAGCTCTGTCATCTCGTAAATGTCTCACCATGCTCAGGGTGACATGCTCCAACATTGTTCTGCATTCTTATTTCTCTCTTTTAAATGACTGAAGTGAGTTAAAAGTGTTTGAGCCCGGTGGGTCGAGGCCCGATGGGTCGAGGCCCGATGGGTCGAGGCCCGATGGGTCGAGGCCCGCTGGCCGACCTGCGACTCGCTGAAGGAATTATCTGTCCTGGCTGCACAACTCCTCTGAGCTGTTTGGAGAACTGACGCATTGATTTCTTGACAAACTTCCTAATTAAAGACAAATACGAGTCACATTTTTTCAAACGCACACTTCTTGAAAGATAAAGGGAAAAGTGGAGAATTATTGGCCAATTTTTCACCGACACTAATCCATCCCGTCACCCAATCCACGCTGTGAGGGGGAAACCAAACTATATTTATTAGCTTTGTTTAAATGAGAGCTTAAAATCTGTTCTTTTTATGTGGGCTGAACACAGATGGATGGATACAGGGGTGGTTCTAGGGGTGGGGCCACAGGGGCATTGGCCCCAGCTGAAATCTGATTGGCCCCCTGAAGTGCCCCTGTCCTGTCACTCATCTGTCCTTCACCTGGGGGAGATGATGATGGATGCAGTTCCATGTTCAAACACTAGCTGTGCTAATGAGTCAAAGAGTGAAGTCCAGAATAAATCAAGCTGACAGAATTATTCTTCCCTTCATAAAATTTGAACAATCCTGCAAAAAAGTATTTCAACTGACAAATTATAGCTGGATTTTCTCACATGTTGTGTGTTTGAAAATATTTTATCTATCTACAGTAAAATGTATGAAAAACTGGCGAGGAGAATTTACTGTGCAAGATATTTGGTACCACTTTACAATCAACCTCCCCTTATAGATGACTTATAAAGAGTTTACAGATAGGTTATTAATTCATTTGTAAAGTTTACACTTCATAAATCATTAATAAATGAAACTGGACAATTTTGTCTCTTTCTCGTCCTTAATTATTGCATAATAAACACGTATTAATCATTTTTAAAGTGTTTACAGATTAATTTATAACCTATCTATAAACTCTTTAAAAGCCATCTATAAGGGGGGCCTTATTGTAAAGAGGTGCCTTTTTTTAAAAAAAAAAGTACATGACATTACAAGTGTTTGAAGTGAAAAATGTATACACTGGGAATTTGTGTGAAAGGATGTTGAACAAAGACTTGGCACCTCTATGAATATTGTGGCCCCCTGATGGCCCCTGACTCAGAAAAATCCTAGATCCACCACTGGATGGATAGATACTTTATCAAAACCCTGAACAACAATAAGGTGCAAGAAGTGGACTGAAAAAGCAGCCAAAGTCCAACCACCTCAAGGACCGTTAGGAAGTGTCCATCCTCGTCTCCTTCCTCCTCGTCTCCTTCCTCCTCAGCCCTGCTGGGCTTCAACGTTTTAAACGTTTTAGTCTCAGATAGTTCTGCTGTCAGAGACATTAGTTAATGAGTTTCTACTTTAAGCTCCTTCCACTGAGACAGCTCTAGAATAGATCTCCCTCCTTTTTTCCAGTCTTCTCTCCATTTTTTTACCTTTTTATTCTCTTGAGGAAATGAATGATTGGTTTCTTAACTTTTTAAAAAAATCAAGAGAAAACTTGAACGGGACCCTTGTTTTGTCTGCGGCTCGTGTATTTCAGTGGTTGTGTTTTGTTTATTAAATTGTGGATTTCAGTTTGTATTTTATCCCCTGAGGCCTGATTGAGCTGTAGAATGTTTTCATAAATAAAACTGTACATGCTCACTGACACTCTTAAAATAGCACAAAAATAAACTAATTTGTAGAAATTAAATACTATAGTTTATAATATTAAATGTCTGAGTGTTGCAGACAAATATTGACATTAGTTTTTAGAGGCTCATGTTTACTCTCTGGTGCTCTGAGACGTTCAGCTTGTTCAGGTTTCTCCTCAGACTGAAGACGGTTGATTTGCAGGATCACTGAACTCTTCAGGCTGCAGGTGCTGCAGGAACAGCACACACCTGTGAGGAGATTTTCAGTAGGCTTTTAGGAGTTTTATGCAAACGGCTCAGTAAGTGGTGGCATGTTTGTCAGCTGCTGGACAGAACTTCATGTTTTAGATCAGGCATGGTCAGTCCTGGTCCTGGAGGGCCGCAGCCCTGCATGTTTTACTTGTTTCTCTGCTCCAACACACCTGATATGAATGAAAATACAGTATGATTATCAGGCTTCTGCAGTATGGAGGACCAAAACTGACATAATTAGAAATAAAAGCAGAATTATATAAATGAACTATTAAATAAATACACTT